TCTGTGTCTCCAGCAAGCACTTACACCTTATTGCAAAAATCTCTTTCAAAAAAACTGTCTGAGGGAGCAGCACATAGTGTAATGGCTATGTTGCTGGACTCCCATGTAGTTGACCGCAGTTCAAGTCCTGGACCCGGCGGCTTAAACTCACACCGGGCACATGTGCATGCATGCCCAAGATCCCAAGAGGAGAATGGAGGAGAAGGGATTGTGGTGTGGCCATCTCCCGCCCCCCCGGGGGGGGGTGATTTCAATGTGATTTTTTACTTTCTCTCTCTCTGCTCAGCGCACATGCCCTATAGCAAAAAAAAAAAAAAAAAAAAAAGTCTGAATGAATGCCTTAAGGTCTGTTATAATAACATTTGCCCTATATATGAATATAGATAATCCTTTGCAGTACTAAAATGATCACTTTCTGGAAGCTTACAAACATTAAGAATTTCTCATTATAATTATTTTCTAAGCTCCCTATACAATTATACACAGCATGAATATGGTAATTTATTCCATTCTCTATATAACAATCCAAACCTCATATTTAGCATCATGCTAATATTCAAATTAGTTCCCATACATAGTGTAAATATTGAGGGAGAAAAATCTATGAATTGAAAAAAAAAAAAAAAAGGAGATACCTTTATCCCTAAATCTATGCCCTCCCCAGCCAGAATCTGAAGTCTACTGTCCTGGCTAATACTACTCTCAACTTCTCCCCCTTTCTCCATACCAAGCCTTCTTTCTTGCAAAAGAAAAGGACTCTTTCATGGTTTTATGTGTGTGTGTGCGTGTGTGTGTCTGTGTGTGTGTGACTGTTTGTGTGTGCACACGTGTGTGTGTTTGTGTATGTTGTTCTCTTTTTTTGAGAGAATGATGTTTGCTATAGGGCACATTAGCTCACCAGAAAGACAGAAAGTAAGAAATCACCCCCCAGCAAGGAATGACCACACAGCAATCCCTTCTTTTCCATTCTCCTCTCGGGATTTTGGGCACGCATGCACACCACTCAGCTTAAGTTTCAAGTCGCCAGGTCCAAGACTTGACATGCAGTCGAAGACTTGAAATGCAGTCGAAGACCTGAACCAGTCAGGCATGCAGTGGGCATGCCTTAACCACTATGCTACCTGCTGGCCCCTCATTGCTTTTTAGAATCACATAAATTTCCAATTCCAATCCTTCAACGATCATTTATACCTCTGTGATCTTTGGCAACTTTGCAGTTTAAGCCTCAGTTTTCTTATACAAAAAAAACTTTTTGGAGAGGTTTTTGCTATAGGGTGCATGCGCTTGCCAGACAGACAGAGAGTCGGAAAGTAAGAAATCAGCCCCCCAGGGGGAATGGCCATGTCGCAATCTCTTCTCCTCCATTTTCCTCTTGGGATCTTGGGCACGCACGCACACGCGCCTGGGGTGAGTTTAAGCCACCATTATGTTAACTGCTGGTCCCTAAAAAAAAATTTTAAGTGTATTTATTCCTCCATGGGGGGGACTGAGGAGTGGCCCATGTTCTAAGGGGTTTTCATGCTACAATCCACCCCTAGCCTCGGTTGCCTGGATCACAGGTGCGACCAAGACGCCGACCTAGGATCTTCCCACATGGGTCCAGCACTGGCAGAACACTGTGTTGAGATGAGCCACCACAGCTTGCCCTTGCTTTCTTCTATTTAAAACTAAAGTATTAGTATCAAATATAGACCAGTGTTGTTGTGAAGATAAAATTAGATGTGCCAGGCATGTTAATAAACACTCAGGGACCAGCAGATGGCGTAATAGTTACGTCACTGACTCCCAAATGGCTGTTTCAAGTTCCAGACCTGGAGTCTTGAAACTCACACCAGGTGCGCATGTGCTTGCATGGCCAAGATCCCAAGAGGAGAAAGGAGAAGAGATTGCAGCGGCCATCCCCCTGGGGTGGGGGTGGGGGATTTCTCACTTTATGTTTCTCTGTCTTTAGGTCTAGCACACATGCCCCACAGCAAAAAGCTCTCTAAAAATAATAATAATCACTCATTATGTTAGCTATCATTATTAATGACTTAACAACAGGATATTTATTTTAAAAGAGTACTAAAAAAGTATTAAAGTATGAGAAGACCAGTAAGTTTTCTCCTCAAACTTCCATTCTAATTTTTATGAAAGATAGAGTATAATTAATGCAGTGCACTTCAGAATTAGCTTAGTATTTTATAATTTTTGTAGTCTTTCTCTTTTTGTCTTGTCAACTTTTTAAAGAAGTTTTTGCCTTAGGGCACACCCACCCGGTCTGGGACTCCTATTCTTATCACCTATTATGTAAACTCCTAAAGGCTAGAACATTGTTTCATCCTCTGGTATTCATATATTATGCTTACCACATTGTAATTACTTGTTTCTCTATCAGTCTCTGAGCAATTAGGCAGACATCAAATTTTACTTGTATTTCTTTGCTGAAGGCTTGGTAATCCAGACACAAAATGGTTTTAGGAAATGTCTATTGAATGGACAAATGAAGTAGTTGATCTTTTTCCCTCCTGCAGTGCCTTACCCAGTACTCTACACATAATAGGAGCTCTCAGTAAAGCTTGTTAGATTTACACAAAATCTTTTAGAGCCACCCACCACCAAAGCTTTATCTTGCCTCAGGAAAACACTTTTTTAAAAAATCATTTATAGGGGACCAGCAGTTAGCGTAATGGCTGTGTCGCTGGACTCCCATGTAGCTGACTGCGGTCAGAGTCCCGGACCCGGTGATTTAAACTCACGCCAGGCACATGTATGCGCATGCCCAAGATCCTGGGAGGAGACTGGAGAAGAGATTGTGGTGTAGCCAACGTCGGGGGGGGGGGTGGGGGGGGTGATTGTCTCTCTGTATGTCTGACACTGGAAAGCACATGCGCCCTACAGCAAAAACGTCTCCAAAAAAAAAAAAAACATAATTTTATCCAGCATTTTTTAAAACTTTATTTAATTTTATTTATTCATTCATTCATTTTAATTTAACCAGAGAGAGACAGACTCATACACAGAGAGAGAGAGAAAGAGGGAAAGTGAGAAAACAAGCCACCAGGTCCAGGACTCAAAACGTGGTCAGCCATGCGGGAATGTCCAGCACCCCAATCACCATGCCACCTGCTGGTCCCCATTTTTTTTTAAACTTTATTTAATTTTATTTATTCATTTATTTTAATTTCAGTAACTTTTTTTTAACTTAATCAGAGAGAGAGACATGGTGGCAGGGAGTGAAAAAGCAAGCTACTGGGTCCAGGACTCAAACCATAGTTGGCCATGTGGGAGTCCAGTGCCTCAACCACCATGCCACCTGCTGGCCTCAGTAGGAGAATTTTTCTGGGGCAGGCAGGTGGCGCAGTGGTTCAGGCACTGAACTCTCACATGACCATCTGTAGTTTGACCTGGAACTGGCAACTAGGTTTGTGTACATGCATGCCCAAAATCCTAAAAGAAGAATGGAGAAGGGATTATAAAAAATCCTAAAAAGAGAATGGAAGAGTCCAAAATCCCAAGAGGAGAATGAAGAAGAGATTGCACAAAATCCTCAGATGAGAATGAAGAAGGAATGAGAAGAGATTGCAAGGGTGGCCATTCCTTTGGGGAGGGGGAGAAGGAGGGTGATTTCTCACTTTCCCTCTTTCTGCCCTATGGCAAAACAAAAAGAAAACCACTTCTACTTTAAAGTTTAGCTGCAGACATTACAAATGAAAAGTTTGACACATTTCAAATAAGAGGGTTCAATGACTAACCACATCTAGGATAGCTCAGGAAGGATTTAAAAGCCATTATTCTAATTAATAAATTTGTGAACCTCAACATGGAAAATATCCAGTTACATAATCAAAAGGAAGGTTGTCCCTTGCAAGTGTATACCTACAAAGAAAAATCATGGGAAAGCTTGTTATCTGTAGGTTGAAAAGAGTAAATTCTTTTTAATGCCTAATTTGAAGCCATTGTTTTCATTAGAACTAAGAGTTAATGAGCAAACTGGTCCAAACCTGTCTCCAGAAAATAGTCTTTGCCATTCAGAAACTCAGAAATTAAATGTTTTCCCCTCTTAGAGACTTTTAATTCCTGACAGACTCCTTTTATTTCTATTGACAGATATTCAAAACTTGTCCTGTCTCCTAAAATAAAGCCTCATTCATGTCTTCAGAGGCAAATAACTTGAATAGGCACACTTTGGGTACACTAGGTTTTACATCCAAGTAACTGAAACTATCCCTAGATTTAATAGTGTTCAGCCTATTACAGCAATAGAAATACTTCTTAGTTTTAAAGTTACATTTGTGTAAGGTTTAAGTGTCCTACTGCACATTCTTTCAGCATATCATCTAAACCAATTTTACACTGTATATGTAATTTCATAAGTTCACTGTAAAGAAATTCTACACTTGAATGAATCCGGGGAGAAACGTGAGTTTAGCACAGACCTCCTTCTTTCAATTCAATAGGTTCCAGAGGAAGCACACCTTGGTTTTTTTCTCAAGAATTTCACCCGCCTCCACCCCACGCTTTAGAGTAGCAATCATTCATTATTCCACGCATAATCTCTCCGCCAAAAAAAAACCTTCCCAACTAACACTAATTCCCCAGGACTCGCCTTCTCGCATATCTGAGTGTTCGTGGGGTATTTCTTTAGAAAGAGGGAAGGAAGGCAAACAGTAAGGGGACCGGACGCCACCATTCCCGCCACGCCATTTAGGACCCAGGTCCAGGCGCGCTGGTCCCAATCAGCCTCTGGGGGAGCCTGGGGAGCTGCAAAGGTCTGATCCTTCTCCTCCCCACCTCCTCCCAACCAGTGAAAAACAAACTGGGCCCAACCTCTGTGCTCCCATGCAACATACCCGCCTCCTCGCTGTACCCCGTTTCTTCCCACTTCTTCCCGGATACAGACCAGTCCCTTTATCAAATTCCGAGACCCTGTAACCCTCTAGCTCCCAACACACACACCCTCTCCATGCTCTGGCCCCTGCCCCTTGAACCCCACTACACCCGAGTCCCTTCCCCTGGACCTCTCAGCGGCTCCAGCCCTCCTCTCGTGCCCCAGCGCGGACCGGCTCCCTGTCCCTGGACCCGTGGGACCCGGGTCTTCCCGACACGTCACACTCGGGCCAGTTCTCCCGCGACCCGACCTTCTCCACCTCTTCCCCAGGCGCTACCCCCTGTACCCCGCTAACGTCTGCCCTTCCCGACACGTCACACTCGGGCCAGTTCTCCCGCGACCCGACCTTCTCCACCTCTTCCCCAGGCGCTACCCCCTGTACCCCGTTACCTTCGGCCCCGCCCCCCTGAGGGTGTCCCCCCCCCCGCTCCTGCCGCCGCATCCTTAACCGCCGCGGCTGCTATAGCTACAGGGAGCCAAGGCAACCAGCTCTCGCGACACTTTCCTCAGCCACGGCGAGAACAGCCGAGAAGAGACTCTCGCAAGAAAGTGAATGAGTCAGCCTCGAGAAGGCTAAGTATATCTCGCGATAACGTTGTTTAAGATGGCGGCCGCAAGGCGTTTCTGGGTGGCTTGGGAAGGTTTGGAGGTGGGGCGCGGACGAGGGGTAATCTTGAGCTAGCTGGGAGTTGGGAAACTATTGCAGGCGGGAAGGTCTGTCCCGTCTGGGAGAAGTTACTGTGGCGGATTCTACACCGCAGTAACTAGGGATTTTGCCTTCTTTTCCCATCTGCCTCCAATTTAAAAGCAGTGTCGCCTTTAGCTGAAGTTCGTTAGTCCCTGCATTTTATTTCTGCATATGGAGTAGAGTTGGAGATGACTTGGCTAGAAAGTGACTGTCCCATCCTTTTATTCCCTTCCCGCAAGGAGTTTTCCTCCGTTCTTACCCCACCCTAGTTTGTAAAAGATCATTGACTTCACACAATGTTTACGCATGGTACCCGGCCCATCAGCCTACCAGATCAAAATAGGAAATAAGTTACCACCACCCCCCCAAATAAAAAACAAAGAGGAACATAAGGACAGGTGTTTAGCCATGTATGCAGAAGAGAACAGCATATGGGTGTGATCTGAACTTTGTACTGCTTGCCTCCCAGTGGACACACCCTTACTTGATGATTCTAAACACTTCACTTAGTTGTAAGGCTCCTTCTCTGCTTTTAGACAACTGCAAGTGCATACTAATTGAACAGCTCTGATACAGAAGGTGTATTTAAAGAGAGTTGGGGGGAGCCAGGGGTGGCATGGTGGGTAAAGCACAGGACTTAACATGGCTGACTGGTTCAAGTCCCAGATATGGAAGCTTGCTTTCTCACTTTCCCTTTCTCTCCATCTCTCTCTGGTAAGCAAAAATAATAATAGTAATAATAAAGTAATTCTTTAGGGGAAAAAGAGCATTGGGCAACAAATAAGAGAGACAGGGGAACCAGCAGGTAGCATGCTGGTTAAGGCACTGGATACTCCCACGTGGCTGACCACTGGTGCCTTGCTTCCTCATTTTCCCTCTCTCTCTTTTTCTCTGTTTCTCTCTGGTCAAATTAAAAGTAAATGAAGGAATAAATAAAATTAAATAATTCTTTTAAAAAAAAAGTGAAACAGAGGGGAACAGTAAGGGAATAGAGAAATGGAGAATTCATCTCTTCTTGAAATCCCTGAATAGGTCTCGTAGGTGTTGTAGTTTAGACCAGGGCTGTACAGTAGAAATAATACTGTGAGGGACCAGCAGATGGTGCTGAACTCCCATGTAGTTGACTGCAGTTTGAATCCCCGACCCAGCAGCTTAAAATTCACTCTGAGTGCATGTTTGTACATGCCTAAAATCCTAAGAGGAGAATGGAAAAGGGATTGTGTTATGGCCATTACCCGCCCAGAGAGTGAGTTCTCCCTTTCTACCTCTTTCTCTGTCTCTCCAGTGAGCACAAGTGCCCTATAGCAAAAAAGTATCTAATAAATAAATAAATAATACTGTGAGCCACACTGCAATTTAAACTTTCTAGTAGCCACGTTTTTAACCACAAGAAATTAACATTAGTAATACATTTGATTTAATGCAAACATATTCAAAATATCATTTCAAATTTTAATCTGTTAAGTTATAGCAGTTTCGGGGCCAGCAGCTAGCATGGTTCAAGTACTGGACCTGGTGGCTTAAAACTCAGGCTGAGCACATGTGCATGCATGCCTAAAATCCCAAGAGGAGAATGGAGAGGAAGGGATTGCAGTAGCCATCCACACAGGGGGATGATTTCTTGCTTTCTGTCTCTCCAGAGAGAGTACGCGCCCTATAGCAAAATCTCTCTTTAAAAAAAAAAAGTTATAGCATTAAGGTATAGCAGTTTCACTTTTTTGGTACTAAGTTGTTTTTTTAATTATTTATTTATTTTAATTTGACCAGATAGGGACAGAGCTAGAGAGAGAGAAGTGAGAAAGCAAGCCACCAGGTCCAGGACTTGAACTGCAGTTGACCATGTGGGAGTTCAACACCCTTAACCACCATGCCAACTGCCGGCCCCATGTACTAAGTTTTTTTAATTAATTTTATTTTATACTTGTAAGCCATCTCCATCCAAATTAGGCATGTTTCAAGACCCCAATACCCAGGGGCCAGCAGTTAGTGGCACTAGACTCCCACGTAGTCGACCGCGGTTCGCGTCCCGGACCCGGTGGCTTAAAACTCACACCGGGCGCGTGTGCATACCTGCCCAAGATCCCAAAAGAATGGAGGAGAAGAGATTGCGGCGTGGGAGAAATCCCCCCTGGGGGGCGATTTCTTGCTTTCTGTCTCTCTGTCTCTCTGTCTGTCTGGCGAGCACATGCGGCCGTATGGCAAAAACCCCTCCAAAAAAAAAAAGAAAGAGGAAAAAAAAAAAAAAGGCCCGAATACCCACATATGGCCAGAATAAAATAATTTTTAAAAGAAATATTAAAAGAAAAAGGGATGGGGGGACCAGCAAGTGGCATGGTGGTTAAGGTGCTTACAATATTGCACAGTGCAGGGACCAGCCGATGGCATAGGGGTTGAATCGCTGGACTCCCACATAATCGTGTGGTTCAAATCCCGGGCCTGATGGCTTCTAACTCAAGCTGGGCCTTTGTGCATGTGCCTAAAATCCCGAGAGGAAAATGGAAAAGGGATTGCTGTGTGGCAATCCTCCCTGGGGGGTAATTTCTCGCTTTCTGTCTCTCTCTCTCTCTCTCTCTCTCTCACTCTGGCAAGCGCAGGCAACCTATAGCAAAAGCCTCTCTAAAAAGAAAAAGAAAAAGGGAAAGAAGACAATACAAGTGCAGACCTAGACTCACTCAGTGAATATACAATCTTGGTAACTTTGAGGGTGGTATGGGCATGTAACTTACGTAAAAGTTGCTAACTCAAATAGCTGCAGAGGCTATGCATGTAACAATGTAAGATGACCTAATATAAAACAATAGGTAGTAGTGGGAACAAGGACTCTTTGAAGACTATAAGCTCTCACCTAAAAAGGGTCCCTTTTCTAAGTTTTAAAATAGTAATGGCAGGGGCTGGCAGGTGGGGTAGTGGTTAATGGTGCTGGACTCCCATATGGCTGACCATGGTCCAAGTCCTGGACCTGGAGGCTTCCTTTCTCACTTTTCATCTTTCTCTTTCTGTGTGTATGTGTCTGGAAATATTAATAACATTAAATAAAATAATTATTTAAAAGAAATATTAAAAGAAAAAGTGATGCGGAACCAGCAGGTGGCATGGTGGTTAAGGTGCTAGACACTCTCCCACATGGCCATCCCTGGTTTGAGTCCTGGACCTGAAGGCTTGCTTTCTCACTTTCCCTCTCTCTCTCTGTCTCTGTGTGTATTAGTCTGTTTCTCTCTGGTCAAATTAAAATAAATGAATGCATAAATAAAATTAGTAAAGTATAAAAAAAAAAGAAAAAGAAAAAGTGACAGTAAACAGATTTTTTTTTCCCTTTAGCTAACTCTGCTGCCAATGGGAAGGCTCAGTGAATGTACATCATTCAAATATATGAAACAGTTTTTGTTATATGGCACATGTGCTTGCCAGAGAGACAGAAAGCAAGAAATCACCCCTTGAGGGGATGGACATGCCACAGTCCATTCTCCTCTTGGGATTTTGGGCATGCACGCATACACGCCCAGTGTGAGTTTTAAGCCATCAAGTCCAGTACTTGAACCATGGTCTACTACAGGGAAGTCCAGTGATGTAACCCTTGCCATCTGCTGGTCCCAGACACACATATTCTGAAACCCATTCTGATGTCATCTAGAGACTTTACGGCATTAGATCTGAGATAATAACCCTGATCCCAGCTTCTAATCAGGTACGTAAAGAGAGCTAACACCAGGGTCACCAATACCTGTTTCCTAACTGCAGTGCACAAGAACTGCCTAGTTTTGTCCCTATCAGGGCCAGCATGTATGTTTATGCATGATTTTCTCATCAGTGAATCAGTATGTTTTTGTATGTACGTATGAATGTGGGTTTGTGGTTGTGGATATGGACATGAGTGTGTAAGCAGCCAGAGCTCATGTTGATCTTAAAGTCTGAATAATGAATGTTTAGTATTTGGTTTTAGTCAGTCTCTGTATTGTTACCCTATGCTTTTGTCTACCCTCAAGTATCAGAGGAAGAATGAGTTCATTTCCTTGAGGTTTATTAACTATTACCGGTGTTAGAACAAATTCCATAAAAGAGCAGGTTCCATCCATACAGAGCAAGTACAAGGGGAGCTCTGAGTTAGTGAGGAAGGATGCTTGGAAAAGAGGGACTCAGAGTAAAGGCTAGAAGGCAGTTTCCCTCCCTCCATTTTCCTTCCATTTCCACAAAGATATTAGACTAACAGTAGGCGTGTCCTGCTCAGCATTCCCTCTCTAAGTTGGACCCAGAGAGGGGAAAACTTGATGGTAAACTAGATGAGGAAACACCTCACAGCTCCTCTGTTTCTCCATCCAAGGGGATGCCAATATCCACGTTGTAGTCAACAGGCTCCCCAGAGCTCAGCCAGGGAATTGGCGTTCGATTGAAAGAAGGCCTGTTGGAGAGGTTCTGGTTGTAGAGGACCAGAGGTTCACTCAGCAGGGGCCCCAGGTCAAACTTGGGTATCTGGAAGGTCATGCGTTTAGAGGCCTTCTCATATCCACCATAGGGCATTGCTGTCCTAAGAAAGGAACACATTATTTAGTTAAGAATCAGAACAAAGGAAACAAGAGCTTTATCAATGAGATGTTACCCTGTCTTGTTTTGTTGTTGCTGTTTGTTTTGTTAGGTTTTTGCTATAGGATGTGTCCACTTGCCTAAAAGAGATAGAAAGAGGGAAAGTGAGAAATTACCTTCCCCCCAGAGGGATGGCCATGCCACAGTCCCTTCTCTGTTCTTCTCTCAGTATTTTGGGCACACAGGAGTGCCCAGCATCATTTTCAAGTTGTCAGGTCTGGGACTCAAACCACAGTTAGCTATTTGGAGTCCAGCACCTTAACCACTATGCAACTTGCTGACCCCCGTCAGTTCTAGTTTTGAGATTGTTTCTACGCTCTATACTCTCTTAGCACCCCACATTCCCTTTCTGGTTTGCTTATTTCTCCAAAGTTAATAATGAGAAAATGAGTCTAGTAGGTAGTGGATAGTCTCATGGATAATTGTGAACCAGACCAGCACTTCAGAGAAAGTGACCCCAAACACTATAGACCCAATGCTCTGAGGCCACCTTAAATTACAGTGTGGAGGGCCAGCAGGTAGCATGGGGGTTAAAGCACTGGATCTCACATGGCCAGCTGCATAGTTCAAGTCCCAGACCCAGCAGCTTGAAAATCACATGGGACATGTGTGCTCACATGCCCAAAATCCCAAAAGAAGACTGAAAGAGAAAGGATTGTAATGGGGACTTCCCTGGGGGAGGGTGATGATTTCTCATTTTCCCTCTCTCTCACTCTCTCTCTCTCTCTGTTTATCTCTGGCAAGTCTACATGCCCTATAGCAAAAACTAAAAAGTAATATTGGGTTGTCAGAAAAGTCATGACATATTTTTCTATTTTTATGTGCA